AAAAAAAAAACAGGAGTATTAAAAGCGACCCTTGTTAAGATGAGGAAGATTAACTGATTTCACCGAAGTGGAACAACGGAAAAAAACAAACCAATTCGTCCACTCCGACTCGTTTCCCATCATCACAGAAGCAGTTAGTCTGGACATTATTGAAAGTCAAAGACGCCACTGAAGCCAAACTGATTTCGGGACCCATCTGTAACTCCAGCTCACAACTGTAGTACCCTTGCCTTGTCATCATGCGATTTTTTTCAGAATAAAACACCGACGTTTCCACTTTTTCTGATTCCCAGCTAGTCGAAAAAAATTTCTAAAAATACAGATTGAATTTCAATCTTCATTTGTGAAAAATGTCACTTCAACAGGGAAACCTATGCGTTGCTTCAAAACAATATTAAGTTAACTACAAAGGTAGCGTATCTACTCAATTCATCAGATTCAATTACGACCCATATAGAAGCAACGAAATATTAACAGTCTCAATGGCTTGCTCATAGCACTTCATTCTTCAATCTCAAAAGGTTGTGGTTTTTAAAAACATACCTCAAGTGCTTCCTGAATGCCAGAAGTAGTTATCGCAGTAGACAAAGGAAGTGGAAACAGGCACCTTATGTTTGGCTTCAAGATTGATTTCAGACAGTCGTCTGTGACTGCTATCTTCGTAAGGCTAAAAAAGATTTTTCCAAACTATTCCTTCATGATAAGCCTGTTTTTCTCCGTGGACAAAAAAGCAACAGGTAATGCAAGAACCAAAAACCGACCTTGCAGCGCAAGATTTCTGTAATTGGATTTCGAAATAAAGCCTGTTGGTTGCAAGTTTTCTAAGTAGACGATTAGTAATGATGTTATTGATGATTCCATCCTGAAATACGATATAAACAATACCTAATGAATGATTATCCCGTCAAATTTCCTTGCGTAACAAGAAACGTACTTGAATGCGGAATATTTCAATGTCACACTGTTTCACTAAACGGCGCTGATGGTCGATAAACGACAGAAGGTCTATTTCAGCGATCGCCGTAGTACAACCTCGCATCTCAAACCACCGAATTTCCCAACCTTGGTGAGCGACCAGACTCAAAACCTTCCTATTAATGGCATCACCTTCTAGCATTAATAATCCAGCTAAAAAACTGTCAAGCAACAGTGCATTTCGGAACTACTGCAGCAGCACACCAAAGACAAAAAGTTACTAGTTTTATTCCTGTTCCCAACAAGCTTAGTCTGTTCCAAAACACTTTTTACTTCAGCGAAGTTTCCGGTAAAGTTGCTCTCCTCAAAAGTTTCCCCACCGAATACGTAATACTGTAAAAATTAATAAATCGGTTTGCCAGAAATTAAACTGACAGTAAAAGTTCATGTGAAATAAAGGCGCTAACAGTATTTTCAGAAGCTTTAATTTTAATTTTTGAAATTTTCTTCGCTTGATGGAGAAATTTTTCGTACACCAACTTCCACTTATGACAAATTTCCCTCATTTTCAGCTGATCGTTACGTTCACAGAAACTCCTGAAATATAGCTCACCGATGAATAATGCCAAATAATTTATAAAAAAAGAATAATATTATAGATAGTAGGTTACTGAGTTGCAACAATGGAAACTGCTTACCAAATCCTAACAGTCAGCTCTATCGGTAAATTCCACGAAAAAGACCTGTAGAACTGAAATTCGAAATACCTAATCAGAAGCAAAATTATAAGTCGCATAATGCCAAGGAGCAACATCCAATACCACTATTTTCATTTAAGAAAACTAGTCAAATAAAAAAAAAAAAAAAAACTATTAGAAAAATATACTTACTTGCATTGGAACTTGGTAGTCCGAGCGGCAGAATGTTTTTTCCGCATATCCAAGACTTAGAATCATCATTAACAACTAAAAGTTCTAGACTTTCTTAAACTGTGTTTATTGGATAAGAAATTGATCATCAGGAGAAATAAGTCAACAGCAAGCACATTATAAATGAATAGTACAACTACAAGAAACGAATAACTGCATTACGGAACAAGCTGGTATCACTACACTAAAAACTAGATCATCAAACTTTAAGCCCAGTCACTGTTAAATAATCACCTCTCCATTATCGTAGCGACAAAGATAAAAAAAAAAGTGGGATTGCAGTTAACTTTTTAGTGAAGGGAAGTGTAAAAGTTAGTTTTAGACTGTTAGATGAACTGTCACATTGAATTTTTTTAATAAAACTTAAAACTTCCAGTAACAGACTTTGTTAGGAAAAAACAAAGCAGGAAATTTTGAAGTTTAAACACTGATATACGTAGCTTTAAAGTAAAAAGAAGCTCAGTTTAACAGATAGTTTTAAGAGCAGCAAATTCCTCAAACTTTCTTTCAAGAATCGAGTTTTAGGCAGCGCCAAATAAAGACTAGCGATAAAAAAGGTCACTGCAAACTGAACAAGACAGCATACTGCGTGAAAACTATTGCCTTATAATGTCTATATATTGGTAAGGGAGGCCTTGGTCTGTGCAAAAAAAAAAAGCAAGCAGCTCAGAGATAACCTCGGCCAGTCAACAATGCCGCCGTACCGTCTGAAATCTCTCTTTGTGCTGCTTTGTCACTGGTCTAATTTACTGAGGTTTACGAACAATGATTATCAGAAAGTTCGGCTCTAATCAAACGTCCATTTCCATCCTGCTGAATTAGTCCAAGTAATGCCTTCGTTGTTTGCAGAAAAGAAACTAAGCAAAAATTATTAAAAACTGGCAAATTTATTGGGCTTGGGTTAGCAACTAAGTTGTAAATAAAAGTGCCAAGAAAATATCAAATTATTTCAATGAAAAATTAAATTCACTTTTTACACTTTTTTTTTTTCTAAACTGTCAGCAGTAATCTTTTGAAAATACAGTTTTTAATATATCTTTCAACAAAACTATATCCTTTTTTAGAAGAAAATTTAAATTGATGAAAATTAAATTAACCTAGTATGTAGATGCAACGGTATGTATCCTATAAAGCAATCAGGTTTTATTGCTGTTGAGAAATTAAAACCTACCTTCTCTTCAGAAGCAAACCACTTTCCAAAGTCTTAGTTTTTATATACTTGGATGTTACAGCAAAATAGTGTATAAAATATATTTTAGCAAATGACAACTTTCAAAAATTTATATTACAAATTTTAACTTACGTTATCAATATCTTAATGAAACCAAACAGCACCGATCGGTTACACACAGTTAGTTGTTTCAGATCAGTTTACAATACAGCTCCAAAAAATATCAAGTAATTTACAGAAAACTAAATAAAGCTGAAAAAAAAAAAAGAAGAAAGTAGTAATAAATTTTTTTTTTTTTAGTTTTTTTGATGCGAAATAATTTTTTTTAGAAAACATTCTCTTCAGACTACTTTTCAACTGACAACATACTGTTGAATTTATCAGCACATTAGCTGTAGACTTGAAAAAAGCCAGTCTGATTTAACTAAAAACTGTAATACGAAAAACTGTCAGTAAATTATAAAAGATCAGTTGTTTTAAAATAGTAAAAATAAAAGCAACAAAAAAAGTTGCAGTTATTAAATTAAGAAATGACCAAATAGCAATCAAAAAATAATTTTTTGTTTAATAACTGATAAGAACAATTAGACAACCTGTTTTAGGTCTTATCTAAACAAAGACTG